TTTTTTTTTTTTGAGAAAAAAAACAAATTTTCTTTTATTTCTCTAGTCTATAATTATTACATTTATCAATTGAATTAAATGAGTTGGGCGGAGTCAATCCAAACAATAAAAATATTATCTCAATTGACCCACATCTTTAAAAAAAAAAAAATCTTCAATTTTTTAGTTTATAATTATTATATTTATATATTTATATATTTATATCTTTATTTTTATTATAATAAGTTTCAAATTCAAATTATTTATGTACATCTTTTTATTATAATTTTTTATAACTATTATAAATTTCAATTTATAATTATATTTCAGTATAAATAATAATTATGATCATCATTAAAATAATTAATACTCCATATTTTATAATAAATAACTTTATAATAGATTTATGTTCATGTCTTTAAAAATGAACCAAAAAGAAAAATACAATTTTCTTACTTTTAACCAAATAAAAGAACACTGTTTTTTTTTTAGTATTTATTTATAAACTTTTAATCAAATACTCAAAAATAAAAATATTTTTTCATAAAATAAATCATTTTTCTGAAAATATTTTTCGTATTTCTGAACAGACTCTAAATAAATGATACAAATATTAGCTTGAGCATATAGATATTTGAGGATAATATTAAAATTGTCATAAGGTTACTAGAAGTGACAACAATATTAAGATATATTTATGTAGTCCACATTTGGACTAATAACTACTTATTAGTATAATATAATCATACATATTATATATTGACATATATGTATATATATATATATATTCGTGTATGTATTATCATCATGCACATGCAGACGTAAGAGCAAAGGGGACTCAAAGTCTCCCAACTTGATAATATATTATAATTTTTAATAAATAAATAAATAAATAAATAAATAAAATAACGCAAAACACATATTATAATATATAATTATATATCGTATCATATCCGACCACATACGACATCGCTTGCACCCATCCGTTGCATAGATTCTTTCCGTCTTTCCTCAATGCACGTCAAAATTTTGTACCTTATTAATAATTAATTAATTAATTATTGAATTAACAATTATTTAATTTAAAACAATAACAACTCCAATTAAAATATTGATGAGAGGAATTTTTTGTTGAAAATCGCATTCCTTAAAACGCGTTTTAGTGTCATATTTCCAAGGTAAAGTATACAGTATTACGATTAATATTAAATTAAATTATTAGTAATATAATTATCTTAATTAATTTCTAGAAGATTTTAATTAAGTAAATCAAGTTGTGTATGTATATTTGTGTATACCGATTAGATAAAATTATTGAATATTTTGTAGCTGTCACAGACCGACAATTTCGGTAACAATAATTATTAATCCCATGTATTATAATGTGTAATAACTAAAAGACAACGACAATTATCTATACTCCCTCCCCTATCCACCTGCAAAAATTCCATTGAGAATAATACGTGTTTTAGAGGTTATTTTCGTTTCGATCACGAACAAATTATTTTTTTTTTAATTTTTAATTGATATGGCGGATATTAAATATTTTTAAAATAAAATTAGATGTCATTAGTCATAATATGTATATATCAATATTGTGGTTGTTTGGTAAATAGTTGTTAGCTGATAGTTGTTAACTGATTGGGTTAGTGAGTTTGACTAGTTAATAGCATTAGCTGATTGTAGAAAAGTATTCGATAAATTAGCAGTTAGCTAATGTCTGATTACACGCAAAATGACTTTCTAAAAAAGTTGATCAAAAAAACTGTTTTGAACAACTTTTTGAATTTTAACATTTTGGAGCAATAATTGTTACAAAAAGCTAATCAATCAAACACTCATATTGATTATTTAACCAAGTCAAATAGCTAATTAATAATGGTCGTCAAATAAGTCAAAATTGACTGATAAGCTAACTATGTTACCAAACAGGGTCATTGGATCATATCGGATTAAGTTACCATTTTATTCATTACAATGTGATGTTATTGTAAAAAATTTTGACAATTTTTTTTTCTGTAGGATTGAACATCAAATGTGTTAAAATTACAGAGAAGAAACATAACACTTTTCTTGGAGATAATCAAAGACAAAGACTTTGGTTTTGTTGCATGATTGCATGAATATATATATATATATATATATATATATATATATATTAAAGAAAATATGGAAAATAATTGAAAAGAAGAAAAGATGCACAAGTTGCACGTTCCCCTAAAGCCGAACATTTCCATTCCTTGGGGAGAAACCACACATGGGGCTGTCTAAGTACACAATATGGGATCCTATGCTTACTTATACATATAAATAATTTATGTAAATAATTTTGAACAAATGAAAATCAATGTCCATGATAAAATTAAGAATTCATCCTAGCCGCTGATTTGGAAAAATCAATGACTTTAAAATAAATATCAAAATGTTATCACGTGTCTTCCTTTATTTAGAATTATTGACTGACTATAAATTATGAAGTTTTCTTAATTTTCTGCTGAACGTCAATCTTTATTTGCTTCATCTCGTTTATATATATAAATTGTGAGATAATTGGAATAAAAAATATCGAATTAAAGAACAACTTACTTGATGATCGTAGACATTTATAAGAAATCATAGTAAGAGTGAACAAGGGAAATTTGTGTGTGCATATCATTAAATCTATCTAAGATTTCCAACGAGATTGAGGTTGTATTATTCTACATATCCATTGTGAGGTAACACATGTGGAGGATGATCATCTTGGGGTATGAATCCTTGATGCCTCTTGATGAGGTCAAACCTAACAACTTTTGATTGTCTCTTTTTTTTTTTTTTTTTTTTTTTTTTTTTTTTTTTAAATATGATTGTATATATTTGTATTAGAGTTGTATAAAGTATTTTGCATAATACATCATCTAGTCATGTACCAATTAATTAACTATCTTGATTAGATTTGGCCTTGTTTGGTAAAAAATTGGCCTATAGGCCAATTTTGGCTTATTTGACCACTATTAATTATTTGATTTAGTTAAAATATCAATATAAATGTTTGGTTAATTAACTTTTTGCAACTCCAAAAGCCTAAAATTCAAAAAGCTACTCCAAGCAACTTTTTCAATTAGCTTTTTGAGAAAAAAAATTATACCAAACAGCTATCAGCTAACAGGTAATTTATCAAACACTTTTCTACAATCAGCTAATGTTATCAACTATTTATACCCTCTAATTAACACAATCAGCTAACAGCCATTTTACCAAACAGGGCCTTTATTGGTCGTCTGATAGTTCTCCTCATATACTAAGTTGATAGCTAAATTATATATACTCAACGCACCTCAAATATCAAATCAAAAGATGTATTTTGTCTCAACTCAAAAATCAAATTATATGTTGAACCGAATTCGTTCTCATCCAAAACATTCAAGTCTATGGTGTGTTTGTATTTACAGAGGACAACATGAAAGCTAGATGTGGAAGTGTGAATGCAATAATTAATATTAAATATGGTGTCATGTTCATGATATGAATTGATTAAGCTGATGATGGAAGAAGGGAGACAATCCAACCACAAACAAACAATATTAAGAAGCCTAATTGCAAGTATATATAATATGGTATGTTTTCATTTTCATTATTTTAATGTTTGTTTTAATTAACATATGAAAACTTTGTAATTATCAAACTAACTGCTCGACCAACTCGGATAAGGTTGTCCTTCTATCTTTTTCTTCTTATATATAAAAGGCATCTATATTGTATGGCTGAAAATGGCTTGGGTAATTTGTGATAGAAACTGTAATACCAATCGCAATAACTTTACCCTATATAACATAAAAATTAGGGTTGTTCATTCATTTAATCAAATAATTTGTTTTTAAAATTGGTTATTGAACCGAAATGTACAATTTCGAATTTCATCTAATCAAAGATTCAAAAGTTATATTTTCCAACGAAATTAGTTAAAAATAATTGCACAAGTATATTGGGCCAAAGGCGCTAAACCATAAATTTTGGACTTAAATTCATATAGATAAATATATATTATATACATTGGGCTAAGTTTTGTGTGTTGGGGGAGGGGCTACATATTTCAACAATCATTATTTCATGGACCATGGTCCACACATTTATCTGAACCATAAATAAAAAGTACATTTTTAATATACTAAAAATATATTATTTGAAAGTACATGATTTTTAATATATGATCAAATAATGTACATTCAGTACCCAAATAATGTACTTTTAGTATCTTTAAAATGTATATTGCGTTCATGGTCCACACAGCTATGTAGACATGGTCGACACAATAATTTGCCATATTTCAATTAAAAATTTATTTTAACCAACCACCTTTAGAAGGCAAATTATCGTTAGGACTGTGGTCCAAAATGACGTTATTGAATTTTATGTGTTGGAATAATGTACTTTATGTGTTAGATAATGTACATTATGTATTGGAGTAATGAAACTCTTGAGGTAAGATAATGTACTTTATGAGTTAAAATAATGTACATTATGCTTTAGAATAATGTACATTATGAGTTATAAAAATATATTTTGTAATGGGTCGTGTGAAAGAAAAAAAATTACGCAAAACAACATCATTTTTAGATTGTAGTCCACATAACTTCCACATAGTTGTGTGGACTATGGTCCACACAATAACTATTGCTTTTCGAATCAAATTAATCACAAACTAAAATTCTTGAAATGCTAAAACCGACAGTGAATCAAACTAACCTATCAAACTCGTATCACTACCTTAAAAGCTATAACTATTAACTAATATAAAAGTATAACTTTTATTTTTGTATACTTACATAATAGTTAGCGTCATGTTTCTTTAGGTGAAATGCTAGACTTGACCCTCCAAACCTCTACCCAACAATTTGGTACAATAAGTATGATTTATCAGAATACTAGGTAATGGTTGCGGGTTTTCTCGACATAAAAAAAAATGTTATTTTTGTACAAGGATTGTGGATGATGGCCGTATGAACTTGTGTATGTATGTATGTATGTATGGATCAGGCAAAGATTTATTATATTGGTTGTAGTCGAAGTAGGAATTTCAAATTTTGTACACAATTGATTTCAGGAACATCTAATAATAATTAATGATTTCTAGCTATCATCATCTGATCTCCCTCTTGTTCTCAAATGAAAACTCTGCAGATTCCATTTCAATCTCACGCTGCAGTTCATTTCTGTTCTCTTCTGCAGGCTGATCAACATTATTATCTCTGCGTTGATTAAACCATGGCAGGTTATCTTCAATGTCCCTGGCTGGTGAAGCCCCAACGCTATCGATCTCGCTCTTGTAGTATTGCAGAAGGTGGATGGGAGACGTGCCGTGCAATGGAGTTCCTGGTCTGCTCGACAATGGCGTCACTGAACCCGAATGCCGCTTCTGCCTTAGCTGCTTTCTTGCAGTCTGGTGCCAGCTCTTCAGCGCCTTCGCCACTCTCTCGTTGAAGATGGTTGGCTTCATGTTCGAGCCCATCTGTGTTGGAATCGTAATTTAACTATCAGTTTAAGCTTTTAGTTGAGACAGACCAGAAGACTTCAGATTGCCAGGAATATAATCTCACCTGTGTCACTAAAGCGTATAGGGGGAGAGTGACATAACTGCAGAGAACTTGAATGAGCAGTCTGGGGGAACACAAGATCAAGAATGATGTTATTATGGACTGAATTTCTTGTTTAACACCCACGACCTTTGGTCTGGCTCTGATACCAAATTGAAGCATGTGCTCCATTTAACTAAAAACCTAAAAACCTAAGCTGATAGTTAGATTGCACATTAATGGTTATATGCTCAACAGAAAGGACTTACCCCATTGAGATTCTGATAACCAAATCTTCTGTTTTCTCATGAAAGCAAGATTTCAACCCAAATTCATACTGCAAATATGCACAGAAGACTCACAGTCAGATGGATCTATAATCTGTTCATATTTCAAATATATTCACTGGGTTTCAAGTGATGATCTGACTTACCCAAGCCCATGCAAAGAAGGCAAGCTGGAATGCATTCTGTGAGAGTTAAACCAACACCGAAATAACTATGTGTCAGTCAAAGAATTGGAAAAACGTGTTCTGTTTTAACTAAAAGTCTGATCGAACCTGAAAAAGGACAAAGTGAATGAGGTAGAGCATAAGGCGAGGGCGGTTGAACCAGAAGAGGTCATCGGCCGGTTGAACCACCGGAGTTCCCTTCACCACCTCTCCTCTTTCTTGGATCCTCAACCCCATCTTGGTTATTATCACCTGAAGCTTTGTCCCCACCAGCAAGATGATCTGCACAGATAACGTCAAGCATATAATATATAAAATATAAACGTGCAGTCTCACTGTCAGCTTAAGACCAGAGTCATCTCTCGAGCATATATAGAGCCCTTACGACGAGTGGGATGAAGGGCAACCATAGATAGGAACGCGTGCCTGCAGATTATAGGCCGGAGAGCTGTCAGAAATAGTGAATTCATATATTCACAAAGATGGGAAAGATGAGAATGGCTGCTGGTTTCTTACCATGAGTGTTGAAAAGCAGGAAGATTACTGCAAATAGCCATATTGGTGGACTGGTGTAGAAATGATGAAAACAAAGTTATTATTATTATTATCTGCTAATACATGAAAGGCTGGAGATACATACATTAACAGATGGATTAAGGTTGTTTCACCTGATTCCTACCACAACTTTGAAATCTTCTTCCAGTGATCTCTTAATGTACTGCTGGAAATCGAAATTCATTTGACTCTGTGGAGCTAAATGTGCCTAACAACAAAAACACCAAAATATTATTTAGGGTAATGACAGAAAAGATGTGTTCTGATCTGTCTGGAAAAGTTTGGAGCTTACAATGATAAATCCATGGCGTAGTGTCATATAATCCACCTTAGGAACTGACCTCACAAACTGTCTAAAGAAACACACCTGCAATTTCCCACATTAATTAATACATGCAACAAACTTAAAATTTGCCCGCACAATCAATTTAGCTCACTAGTTCAGTTGACAGTATTTGAAAAAAAAAAAAGTTAAAATTGTAATTAATATTTTGTCTTGGGAAATGTTTAAAATAATGATAAAAACAAAGAAGTTTTGGAGTTTGGAGTAGTGTCTTACAATCCAAAGAAGAAAGGGAGAACGACTCCAAAAACTAAGGTGTCTTCTACCAAATGAGGTGTCTCTTGCAAACCTAAATCTTTCTGGATCTGCAAATAAGATGAGTAGCAAATTAAAGCAATTTAGTTGGCATAATCACTCATAATTTGTATATTATGCTTACTCTAAAGTTTTTTTTTTTTCTTTTCTTATTTTACTCTCAGTATTTGTCGTTTTCTAAGTTACAAATAACATTAGTTCTTTCTTATAAGAGGGTATTCGAACTTTCGACTATAGCAACTCACACCAACCAAACTGATTTTATTAGGCATTTATTTAATATTGTAATGCGCCATATATATATTTGACTAGTTATTATAACATAAAATAAATTATTAACTATGTTAGCCGGCCTACTATTCTTTCTTAATATTATACCTCATATGTCAGGTGTTTTCTTTTTTATTTTACATCAACCAAAATAGAAAAAATAAAATTTGACTTGACTTCCTTTCAAATTTTATTTTCCAACTTATTTTGTTGAAAATGTCTCCTTGACGAAATTTCTATTACTTTTCTATTCCTGATTATTTTTCCATATATATGATGATGAGAAAAACTCACCCGCAATATTCACTACTCAATGGTGTAGCTAGACTGGATAAATCATATTCCTATATAATAGTTTGCAAACAGTATTGACAAAGAATTAAATTTGTAATCTTTAAATACGATAATTATGCTCCACCTATTCGACAATTAAGTGTTAACAGGTTGCATGTGTTTTCCAAGGCAAATAAAATAAGTAAATCCTACGTTAATTACCATGTGTGAACTGATATTCCAAGGTCTTTGTTTCTGATTCCCATGCCTTCCATTTTCTCATCTGATAACCATTCCAAACCAAATTATTCAACTACGTTTACTAATTAAACAAAATTAAAATAAATATATAAATTAATTAACAACAGTCGCTAAAAGTTCAAGGCTTTTCGTGACCATAATATCCGCGACTGATGTACAACAGTTACGAAAAGTCCTTTACAACAGTTGCGGATTAACTGTTCTGTACTGCAATTTAACATATGTAACTAATTAATAAACGGACCTTTAGTCTGCCGAATGCCAAAGTGATTATACAATATAAGACATGGAAAAGAGCCAAAACGAATATGAATATGTGCAGTTGATGTATGCCGTCTGCCGATATAAATGGAACCATTCCCTGAAATAATAATATAATATATGTTATTTAAAAACAATTATTAATTTCATACTTTATTATATTCTCAAGGAATTTTTTTTTTCAATAATTAAATAAAAAATGATAGTGATATCTGATTAATTTATATTCATATAATTAAGGTTAAGATAAACATATATGCATTCAAGGCTATTAAGGATAACAACAAAACGTCATGTCACACGTACCTCTTTGGCGCATTTGTCAGTTCCGCCGCCGGCCAAAATACGCCGATGACTCTCGCCTGAATACTCGTCGTCGGCGAACGCCAGAAGCAGCCTTCTTCTTCTTCCTTCGTCACCGTCACCGTCGCCGGTGTCTCCCCCGTACTTGTCCTCCTCTTCATGTCTATCACAAGGGTGCCATGAGTTTCCTAAGGACTTTGATATGCATATTTTTAATATTGTCGATTGCCCTACTGTTAATAGCAGCGATATAAACCCTAGTAACATAAGCTCTGAAAAAAACAACAAGAAAAAGAGGATGGTGGTTAGTAAAAACCAAAGTTGTTGTGTAGACTAAATTCCATGTTTTTTTTTTTTAATGACTAGGAAAATTCACAATCAGTACTCGATTGATGGTGTACAGTACCTTAACCAGTATAAGACCACAAGAAATAAATCAATCTAAATTAACTATAGCTAATCAACTCAAAACAAGAAAAATTAATATGCTGTTTGGAGTCGAACTTGTATTAAAATCATGTTACTTGCAGTACTCAAATTTATGTTCAATTTGATGTGACAAAATAAGATTTTATATATACTTATATATATATATATATATATATATATATATATATATATATATATATATATAAATAAGTAGTATGATTTTTCTATACTCACCGGCTTTAATCTTTTCCAGGGCTTCATACAAAGCCTTTTTGTTTCTCTTTTGCAGCAACTGCACAATTATAACATAATGAAAAATGAAATAAATTAAACACTACAAAAAAGTAGAGGAAATTGGAAAAGAAATTAAAAATATGTATGTGAGTAAAAAAATTTAAAAATAAATAAATAGTAGTGTTTTTTAAACCTTTCCGATCAAATGAATGACGTATTCTATGACTATGGATATAGCGACGAGCACAAAGCAGACGGCGGCGACCGCCCAAGTGGGCGTTTCTTCAAGGGAACGACCACCACCTCCGCCAGCCATTTTTTCCGACCACGTACAACTATATATGCACACGGATCGATATTCCGCGCCGGCAACCTTAGTTTCGCCGAAATACTACGTTGTTGTTTGTGTGAAACCTGGCTAGGTGGTAGCTAGGGATCGGATCACAAACATTATGTGAGGGAATAGAAAGACATCCAAGAAACAACGTAGAATATATAAGATAAGGCGGAGGAAATAGGAATGCACTGTATGGCGGTTTGAAAATTAAATGGAGGAGTCGATATGGTATTGACAAAATAAAGATGATATATAACAAATAATCTGCAACCAAAAAATTGGAATTCTAATGTATTTGTTGACATATACGTAGGAGGTGAGGTGGTGGGGTGTGGACAATAATACAGGTCTTAAACATGTAAACCGAGGAAATTTCAGAATATTAATAACAGAAAATTTGTTTCATATGACGTTTGACCCGTGAGTTGTACCAATGACCCAATTGTCCAATCGTTAAATAAGACGGGTATAGTATTTGTTCATATCTACTTTGGTATGTATTTAAATTTATATGTATTTTAATATCTGTTCATATCTACTTTAGTATACTGTTCATATTTACTTACTTTAGTATGAGTGCATATCTACTTTAGTATATTGTTCATATCTACTTATTTTAGTATACTATATATTCATATCTACTTTAGTATAATGTTCATATCTACTTTAGTATACTCTTCATATCTCCTTACTTTAGTATGAGTGCATATCTACTTTAGTATATTGTTCATATCTACTTATTTTAGTATACTGTTCATATCTACTTTAGTATTTGTTCATATCTACGTTTTCAACCTATTGAAACACAAAGAGTCAATATCACCCACACTAGGGCTCAAACCTATGACCTCATATTTGGAAAAGTCACTTCATGGTACTAGACCACAAAGTCATTGGTTTAGTAATTACAAGATTACAATTTGACCTTTAGTGAAAGTGACCTAGTTGGTTTTTTGTAGGCTAGGGTATCAAGACAAGGTTTACTCCATTTACACCATCAAATAGTGGTTACAGGTTTCTCTCGTCACATACAAAAAATAGTGTGTATAATAATCTCGAAAAGAATGGCCGAATAGTAAAGTGTGATTCTCATATTAAAAGGTGACAATATATATATATATATATATATATATATATATATATATATATATATATATCCAAACTTTGGCACTTCTTCTTCCAATTACACAGAGAAGTCATGGTTGACTTTTACGTATTCTTAAAATTTTTTAGATTGCATTTATCAAATTCAAAATGGATTCGGCCTCGAAAGCGTTCTGGTGTGATTAATTTTTTGGGAAGAACATAGAATAGTAGAAGATCCAGCATGCAGAAAATTTCTTTAGATAAATATTGACATATCGATCAACCTTTTTACTGGTTACCTTTAGATAATTAATTATCTATAGTTTAATTGCATCGACAAGTTAATATGTTTAATCATAACTTTTTAAAATTTAGACATCTATTTTTTTCATATAAATTTTATACAACAATATTATTTGTTTCGCATAAGACGATCTTACACATGCAAAATTAACACCTATACAAATTATTAAATTAGATTATTATAACATGTATATGTATACATCATGACCAGGCCATGCCACCTTTAGTTTTATCTTCATATCTTTAATTATATTCCCCACGGAATCAACCATTTATTATTAACTAATTAATTTATAAGAGTGGAAATGTGGCATTACCTATATAAGTAGTTATATGTAATTTTCAATACTTCTTTTTTTTTTTTCCCTTCCATGTTATAATAAATAAATAAATTAATTAAATAAAAAGAAAATATTACTACAATGAGATAATATTTCTGAAAGATCAATTAACCTCACTAAACTGCTGTTAACTGATACCTATTAGTTGTTAGCTGATTGGATTAATTAGGGGTATAACTAGTTGATAACGTTAGCTGATTGTAGAAAGATGTTTGGTAAATTAGCTATTAGCTTATATCTGTTTGGTATATTTTTTTTCTCAAAAAGCTAATTGAAAAAGTTACTTTGAGTAGCTTTTTGAATTTTAGCATTTTGGAGTATAAAAAGCTAATTAATCAAACACTTATATTGATTTTAAAACCAAGTCAAATAACTAATAGTGGTTAAATAAGCCAAAACTAGTCTATATGCTAACTATTTTATCAAACATCGCCTATGAATACATTTAATTTGCATTCAATTAGCTTTGCATTTGGCAATAAAATCCAACGATCTTGTGGACAAATATAAGGATTGATTATCGTGACAAGCAATAGTTAATTAATTAATTGGTTTTTCATTCACAATAATTCATTTAATTTGTACCCTTTTTTTCTTTTAACTGGACCATATATAATTAATTAAGAGCATGCATCTTATGCAACAAAAGTCTGTCTAAATCGATTTCTTTTTCTTGAATTTGTCAAACAAGGCCAGTCCAGAGATATTAGTTTGAACAAGTACTCCATAATTATGAAATATATAGATTGTAAGGTAATACTATATAATGTGTTAAAAGGTAAAATATTACTTATACTACCAATTTTTACTTCGATCTCTCTCATAAATCTTAGATGTAAACAACTTTTTCTGGAACCACAAGATGAAAATTTCCTATTCATGTTGTCACGTCAATAAATATAATTGATAGAATAGAACTTGAGAGTCTCCATAGTAGAACTGTACTCAGTGTAAAAATAATACAGATCAGATAAAATGCCACGTATATGTAGTAAGGTCACTAGAAGAGTTTCTCTCGAATAGGCCCGACCAAATTAATCTAAAGTAGATTAGCATCTTTTTGCAAGATGTTAATAATCTCACATGGATAAAATATAGAGAAACATATAGATTTATAATGCCATAGATAAGACTTCCCCTGGAAGCAGTCTATTGGCATTTTTTATCTGAACAGATAAGATATGGACAACTTAAACTGATTTTCTTTATTGGCGCCTAAAATCACAACATAAATTTCACTCAAATGTACCTTTAGATAGCAGCTGGGAGTTTTCTGTAAATCACATACTAACTAATTAATTATATATATTCAATTTTTTAATGTAGTATGCAGAAGTAATTAGTCAAATATATGTGTGCAATAATTATAATCACAGCCTGCAATTCCGCAAATATTTTATGTATGACTGTTGTTTTACATGCACACTTGATTTACTTACAAAATAATGAATGAGATGTTACTCAATGACATTATTGTCGTCGGTCCAAACTATATCAAATATTAATAGCAAGTACTTTATGAGCTTATTAAAAAAATATTATTACCAATAATCCCTTCTCGATTAAGCCCATTGCATTGGGTCTTTTTAGTGCAGTTTAACTTTGGTATGATTTGTGAAATATTACATAAGAGCTAAGCGAAATTTATTCAGTGCACGTCATCAGATAGTGATTGCGAGATTTCCCAAATTGTCACTCAAAAAAATAAAAAATTACAAGCTAAATGACTCATACTGCTGTGCGGGAAGATTTGTTAGGAACAAACAAGACACTAAAAGTTAATATGTATGACATTTTGAACATTGAATTGTTGGATAGAATGTGGTATTTTTAGAAAATTCAGAATGCTAATTAAGGAACCAAACGACATATAGAGGAGACAAATATTAGAAGCAAAAATTCTATGTATATTAAACTGGTGATTAATTAAATTGATGACCTAGTCTTCCCACGCTAATTAATTAATTAAGTATTTCCTCTTTTTAATTCAACTAATTCTCTACCGCTATACATTTTCTGGGTGACGAAAGAAATTCACAATTACTACTTGATGATACGCACGGAATAAATTCACATATAAAAGATAAATTGTACTAAAAATACTCTATGTAACATACCCAACCGAAAGGATTCGATGTTTAGCTTCCATTTTTCTTTTATCATAATAATTGCACAGAGAACTTTTCTGATTTCGGAAAAACGACGTCGTTGATCAAGTGGCACGGCTTGTGGATCCACTGCATTGCCACTTCGCCACTCTACTTGCTTAACGACAATTCATTATTTTTCTTTATTTAATATGACCATCCAATCTCGATTAGTTCAAAGTTTAGGTACTGAAACCGTATTGTTGAAATATTAGATATCAAACTAATTTAATGTCCAATTTTAATTAGTTAACTGCACATTATTATTATTATTATTATTATTATTATTATTATTATTATTATTATTATTATTATTAATATTATTATTATTATTATTATTATTATTATTATTATTATTATTATTATTGTTGTTGTTGTTGTAGTTGTTATGGGAAATGATAAGTGCCAATATACACTTATTATATTCTTGCTACCAAAGAAGGGTTTGAAGGGCTTGTTGCACATGCTAATTGTATTTGTGTTACTCATGAAAGTGACTTATCCTTATTTGTTATTTTCTTGAGTTTTATTATTTTGATTGAAATTATTACTTATTTTTGGTTTTGCTTGGGGCCAAACAAAGATTTATATATGAGGTGTTCGATAAATGCTGATATGTACTTATTCTTGCTACCAAATACTAGGTGATATTACTTGTGTTCGTTTAGTTTTGGTTGATTTATGATGCTTAATTGCTTAATATTTCATTTGCATATATGTGTTTCTATATATGCAAATTATTACAACATTGATCTTTTTTTTTTTTTTTTTTTTTTTTTCACAACTCAAAGAAGGCCACATGTTGAGAATGCAACTTAATATTTCATTTGCATATATGTGTTTCTATATATGCCTCAACATGCCCCATGTTAGATGTAGTGTCGATTTTGGTTTTCCCAACAAAAAAGAAGATGAAAAATCCTTCGGGACATTGACACTACTCTTGATACGCCCTTGACATGGGTGGTGTTGGGGGTGGTGTTAGGAGAGTGTTGCCGTCAATTTTCAAAAGCAAATTTAGAAGAAAAGTAATAAAACATTGACACACGTACACCTAACATTACCCGTGCCAAAGGTCGTGCCACTTGCCGATCTCTTATTTAAGACTTCAAGGAACAATCAAATGCAGCTTTGGGAATCTTCATCCACATGGATAACACATCTTTAATTTGGATGGATGTTGGAGCTTCAATAAAGACTCAACACAACTCAAGTGGGTCTTCACATTCTTAATGTTTTTTTTTTTTTTTTTTTTTTTTTTTTTTTTTTTTTTTTTTTTGGTATAAACGCTTAATGCATTAAATCAGAGCCAAGAATGTTCACAAGAAATTGAAGAGGAGAGTGAAATCACTCCCCGCAACCTGACACAGAAACAACTTGCCTCGCTAAAGTATGGACAGTCAAATTCGCAGATCGTCTAGTAAAATAGAAGGTTACATT